TAAAACGGTTATGAATTTGAAATTCAAAAACTTACCTGGTCGAGTTGTGTAGCTCGATCGAGTTGCCCTGGTTTCTAGCTCGATCGAGCTGTCGGTCGAGCTGGCTCCTTGACACCTAAACTTAACTTATTGAAAGGTTAAAAACATAAAGATAGATAGAAATTGCATAAATAGAGTATGTACAAGGATAAACATGGGACTTCCTCCCAAGTGAGCTTGTTTAAGGTCCCATAGCTTGACCTTTACCTTCTTAGGCATTGGTTGAGCTAGTCCCACCATCAAGGGTGATAGTGAGGACTTGAGACAGAAGCTCCTTTAGCTTGGTTGGGTCCCTGGACTGTTCTGAAGTCACCAAGGCCTTGGCTCTAGAGAATGGCCTTGATCTCCCCTTGTACCTTATCTTGTACTCAATCTTCCCATTTTCAAACTTGGTGGGGAACAAAGTCATTGTGAGCTGAGATGGCTTGACTGAAGGGGCCTGAGCTGGTGGATCCTTTCTTTTATCTCCTGGTCTTGCCTTAGAGGCTGCATCCTCCCCTTCTTTTAGAGCCCTTCCTAGTGGCTCATCAAACAAAGCTTGAAGGCTCTCTTCATCAAGCACACAAGGGGCTTGAACAAGTCTCTCAGCTCTTGGCCTATCAGATCGTGGTTTCTCAACTCTAGCCCTCTCAAGACGTGGCTTCTCAATCCTTGGTCCTCTCTCATCCTTATCCTTCCCAACTCTTGGTTCCTTGTCAACCCTTTCCTTCACAACCTTTGTAGCTCCATGACTCTTAGAACTGAGATTGGTACTGTCAATTGTGGCACAAAAGTCTGAACCTCTAGGCTGCAAGCGATATGACACCAAACTATTCACCTTGTGAAGGATCACTTCTTGCTTGTGAAAGTCTATTGAAGCGCCAACTGTACTAAGGAAAGGGGTTCCCAATAACAGAGGCAAATCCTTCTCTTCTTCCATTTCCATCACAGTGAGATCAGTTTGGATGATGCATTCTCCAATTTTCAAGTGATAGTTCTTGAACACTCCAAGAGGAGACTTAGAAGTTGCATCTCCAAACATGATTGAAGTAGTAGGGCGCTGCAAGGCTCCAGCAATGCCTAGCTTCTCTGCCATGGAGAGAGAGATCAGATTGATGCTTGCTCCAGAATCCACTAAGGCATTGTCAATCTCAAGATGCCCAAGTGTGCAAGGGAGAGTGAATTTCCCTTGATCCTTGACCTTTGGTAGGAAGGTGGGTGAAGTAAGCAGGTTGAACTGATGAGTAGACTCTTGTAGGACCTCTGAAACTTTATCACTGTTGGCTAGAACATCCTTGACCATTTGCATTTGATCAAATGCCTCACTCATGCTATCCATAGAGGCAACTCAATTCCAATCCCACTGAGATCTCTTCTGAACTTGTGAATCACTTCCTTGTGACCTTGACTAAGTAGGCGAGACGAGGAAGCGGCAACCGGTTGTAAGGATCAAGCAAAACAGGTTGTCGGACAGAAGAGGTCGGACTCGATCGAGCTAGAGTTGGACTCGATCGAGCTGCCGATCGAGCTTGTTGTGCGAGCTCAACTGGTGAAGTGTGAATGGCCACAGTAGGTGCTGCACTTCTGGTTGATCAATCTGGACTCCAGGAGCCTCAGCAGCAACAATCTCTTCATCATTCAGCAGTAAACAAAAATCTTCAATGACCCTTTCTTGATCCTCTTCTTCAACAAGTCCTTCTTGAGTGAAGATGACCTTGCACTGTTCCTTGGGGTTCTGAATAGCTTTACCAGGTAGTTGTCCTTGCTTTGTAGCAGCAGCAACAGAAGAAGCATGATTCTCCAGAGAGTAAACCCTTGTGTTGAGGTTCTCGATCTTAGAGTTTATTTCAGCTAGCTTCTTGCTTGTGTCCACTACCCATCAGCTTGCCCTTGAAGTAGTTGCTTTAGCATTGCCTTGAGCTCATTCTCTTGTGAAGGTGCAGGCTGGGGCGGTTGGTGGGGGAAGCCTGGTGGGATATTCATTTGTTGTCCAGGGAAAGTGCCTTGTGGTCCTTGGTAATTGTTCTTTTGACCATACCCATGTTGTGGCACCTTGACTCGATCGAGCTGCTTGTTGTTGAGGATAGACTTGGTCCTGAGGGTTAGCAACATCAGTGTTGCGGTATGACATGGCAGGGTTGGACTTGTAATTATAGTATCCTTTGTTGTAACCTCCTTGCCCATTGCTCATGTAGCACACCTCAGCAAATTGTGTATCCTCCCCTTCTTGGACTGGTTCCATCTCCTCAGCAGACACAAAGTTGACTTTCTTCATTGTGGACTGAGCTAGGATCAGCTTATCCAACTTCTCATTCAATGCCTTAACATCTTTTCTCAACTTTTCGTCTGACTCGATCGAGTGGTGGGTCGAGCTCCGGTTGGTGCGATCATACTCTTCTCCATAGCTTCCATTTGAGTTAGCTATGTTCTCCACAAGTTGCCAGCCATCATCTACATCCTGGTTGAGGAAGTTCCCATTGCTAGCTGTGTCTAGCATCTCCCTATACCTAGGCAAGCATCCTCTATAAAGAGTAGAGAGTAGTGATTCATTGTTGAATCCATGGTGTGGGCACTGACTTGTGTAGCCTTTGAACCTCTCCCAAGCCTCTGCGAATGTCTCATTGTTTCGCTGGATGAAGCTGGATATCTCTCCTCTAAGCTTGGCTGTGCGACCGGTGGAGAAAAACTTAGCAAGAAAGGCCTTCTTGCATTCATCCCAAGTGGTGATTGTGCCATGGGGCAAGCTCTTCTCCCATTGGTGAGCTTTGTCAGCTAGAGACATAGGAAAGAGTCTCAGCTTGATGGCATCTTCAGAGACACCATTGATCTTTGTCAAATCACAAAGCCTATCAAACTCATCAAGGTGGTCAATGGGGTCTTCACTTGGCAATCCATGGAACATCTTGTTCTGGACAAGGTTGATCATTCCCAGCTTGATCTCAAAGTTGTGGTTCTGCACTGGTGGTGGAACAATCCCTTGTCTCTGTTGGTGGCGGTTTGGAGCATCTCCTTGACCAATCGGTCGAGTTTGCCTAGCTCGACCGAGTCCATTGCCCAAAGGGTTTCCATTCCCCTCTGGTACATCCATTGTATCAGCAACAAGCACCTCAGGTTCCTCTTGTACCCTCTGTGACCTCTGAACCCTCTTTCTACCCGTTGTAAGTCTAGCTCGACCAAGTCTTCAGTAGACCGACTCGATCGAGTTCGCATACACCTGCAAAAAGAGACAAAAACCCAGCAGTACAATAGAACAGGGGTGGTATAGCTTGATCGTCCAAGTGTGTTTGAAACTCAAATGCAACAAAAATATTCCCAAATCGGCAACGGCGCCAAATTGATGATAGGATTTGTGTGTGGATGTGAAAAGATATGAAATGAGATGAGTGGAATGCAACAGTGGTATATGATGAGGTGGTAAGATGCAAACACAAACACATCAACAATTCCCTTTAACCATCATAGTCATGTAGTACAAAGGGTTATCAATCCAAAATGGGAAACTTGTCACTCTATGAGAATATGAAACAACCAGGAAAGTCAAGCAAGCAGTTAATAGATTTGAAGTAACACTAACAACCTAAAAAAATGAAAAGCAGTGCAATAAAAGTAAACAAAGCAGTGAAGTGTCAGCTCGACCAAGACTCGAGTCGAGTCAGAGCAAAGTACCAGCTCGATCGAGTTTAGGGACGAGTTGAGACAAACAAAGCTAAAGGTGACGACTTTAACAAGATAAAGAGAGAATTAGGGTTCAAGACAGGGTTTTGCAATCAAAGGAATCTACACTTAATCAATCTAGCTCTTAAAACTCCTTGTATCAAGGCTTCTCTTGATATTGGGCTTCTCAATGCCTAGCCAACCCTTTCCCAAGGTGGAGGCTATCAACCAAGGAATGATCTCAGAAACAGGGGGTTAGCCAGTGAGAATCAAACCTTGGAGGCTATAGGATCATTGCCCAAACTAATCCATCCAACCCCTTAGACCTCTATTGTCTAGAGCAAGAGATATTGGAGCTCTTAGTGGATCTTTTCCAGCGAATGCCATCACTTCCGTGTGGGGAGTCGCCTAAGGACTTACAAGCCAGGGGTAGTGGTCATGTAGCCTTAAGATCTATCCAAAAGAGAGAGAATCTAGATTAAGACCATAAGCTAGAAGGATTAAGCATATGAAACCTCTAATCTATCCCATCTCAAACCCTAATGGGTAACTACTCACTACACATGAATGTAAACACAAGCAAATGCAATAAAAGAGACATCATAAGAAAGAGGAGATGAAATTAAACAACTTTTATTGAAATAAGCAAGTGCAAATACAAGAGATATTATCCAGGATCTAAGATTCAAGAAGCAAGAGCTTCAAGAACACAAAGATGGGATTAGATCTCTAAAAAGTAAAAGACAATAAATTAAAAGAAACTAAAACAAAAGTAATCTAAAGCTTGGTGGTTTTTTCGTGGCTTAGAGCCTTTAAATACAAGAGGATTAGGTTTAGGGTCAAAGGAAGTCAAGGGGGAAGCAACATTTTTCGGGTTTGACTTTGACTTCCCCAGCTCGATCGAGTTGAAGCTTGGCCGGTCGAGTTGAGGAACTCGACCGGTTGGTCGAGTGGACGGTCGAGCTGGTCTTCAAGATGGCTTCTCCCTTCTTCCTTTGCGTATCCAGTTGAGCTGCTTCCATGTGCCAAGTCCCTCCATGCTCCTTATGTCCCATATGCTCCAGAATGCTCCAAAAGACCTATTTCAAAGGACCAAACATGCATATGTATGCAAATGCAACCTAAAACTAACATGAATGCATAAGAAGAGAAAAGGAACAAGATATGATGCAAATGGAAGCTAAAACTATGCAAAAGATGCATAAAAGATGTGCTAAAACTATGTAAAATGCAAGTACATCATCTATCCAAGAGAGATGTACCAAGTGAAGCAACCATTCACATTTTCTCAAGAAACAAATCCAGCCCAAACCGGAGAAAAGGTTGACGTGGCGTTGAAGAAATACATGGAGGAACAGAGATTGATCACCAAGAACCTATATGAGAAGCTTGATCACATGTTTGGTGATCTAAGCAGCAAGTTTGGATCTCTCTCTACTTACGTCCAAAAGCTTGAGGTGCAAATCGCTCAAACAGCCGAGGCGGCCAAGAAACAAAATGAGGTAAACAATCAAAAATTTTGTAGTGTTGTCTCATCTATAGATGGCACGATTGTTCCTACACTATCTCAAGGGGAAGAAGAAGAAAATGAGCCTAAGGACAGGCACAAACCGGAGAGATACAGTTGGGAATCAAGAAGAGCTTACAAGAGAAGGCTTGAAGGCAAGCCACTACAAAGATGATGTGAGAGATGACCATGGCGTGACAACACCACCACAAGATCACACTGAACCAGAGAATGGAGAAGCTAAAGGGATCATTTGCCCTTCAGCCACTCTTCACCACGATTAAAGAAAGAGAAGGAGTCAAGCTAAATGACTTAAAACAAAAGCGCTTTATGGGAGGCAACCCATATTATTTTTAACTATTCATTTCTATTTTGCAGGAGTTTTTCAAAAATCAAACAAAAATACAAAAATATTTTCTTAGGATGAAGACCAAAGGAGACCAAACAATGGAAGTGTCCCACCCAATGAGCCCACCCTTGTACAAGGCGTTTCTCTTCTAAAAGGTAAGTAAACTTTCACCTAGTATTCATTTCTAATCATTATTGATCTTCACTTGAAAAATCGTTTAAACCATTGCACTTTACCAAATATATTTCATGGTTTAACTTGATTTACATTTGATGATTGAAAAGAATACATAATCACTTGTCAAAACTCATTTCGCTCACTGAAATTACAAGAGATTGAACTATAGTTTGAAATTTGGATCATTAACCAAGACCAAATAAGAATTTATAGTTTGTGCTTAACTCTCTTGGATTGTGAACTTCAAGCTGGTCACTTGAGGATCTCAATACAAGAAACCATCTAATCATGATTTCAAGTGTTTTGCAAGGAGTTACCATTTGACAGGAAGGAGAAATAAAGCAAACCTATCAACCACCTAAAAACCAACATGCATATGGCGGCCAAAGGGAGGTTAGAAGGAGATACATAGGCCACAGTGCCGGCCCGACAATCTTAGTGACCTAACACATTTTTTTAAATTGTGGCCTTTTAACAAATTATTAACTAAAAAAAATTAAATTTGATTAATAAATATAATTAATAAAACTGAAATTCGGTTATTAATGCAATTGCTAGGCATCGAACCCATGACCTCATGGGAAAAATGAACTCATTATAACCACTATGCTATAGGGACTAATAATATATGTGGCCCTGAAATTGTTTATATATTTGGTGACCTAAATCCAATGCTTTACCTGCTTTATGGGCGGGCCGGGCCTGATAGGCCATCACACGAAACAAGGCGGCCACCACTTGGGAATGACACAGGAGGGTTATTAAAACAATTCGGTCGAAGAAAATCTCAATTGGCCCGAGTGGATTTGAAGAAATTCAATCCGGACATTTCTCTCGGCCATGACGCACAAGGAGACCAATCTACGGCCAACTCCTAAACGGCGTGACCGAAGTCCACCAAACTTCACAGGCGACCATAAAATCACATTTTGGTCGGCAAATCCAAAAGATAGGACGGAGAAATCATCACGGATCATGAGATAGACGACGGAGCTCATTCTGGCCGATGGCGCGCAAGCAATATGGCCGACAAACCAAATCACGGCATAGGCGCGCCAACCGGTTGGAAAACTCTTCTTTGAGCTTAACTAACACTTTTATGCAGGAAGAAACGAAAAGGAACGAGCCAAACTTCACATGGCCAAGGAAACTCCTTCCCGGAGCCGACTTGACCATTTTGTGAAGGAAGTCTCAATCCGCTCGTACAAATGCTCCCAAACTTCACCAGAGGCATAAAATACCAGGTTGGTCGATGAAATTTCAATATAGGTCATGAAATTTTGACGGTTTGTTCTGTAGTTCACAGCACCACATTTTGGCCGACCGAATATACCAATCTCGGCCAAAACACAAACCGGCGGAAACCAAGGCCTGAAATTAAAAACTCACCGACCAATATTGCCTAAAGAAGTGTAGAATGACCCAAACCGGAACTGATCTTCATTATAAATTGGTCGACATTTGGTAACATCATCCTAAACCTTTTTCTTTTCAATTTTTCATTTGAACTTCATGTTATGCCTCTCTTAATCCGATTTGATTTCACCGGGACGGTGCAAGTTAAGTCTGGGGGGATTACTAACAATGTTTGTTCATTTTGGCGTTTTCATTTGCATTTTTCCCTTTTATCGAGTCGTTTTTATTGAGTCAAAATTTTTGTCGAGAATCATGACCTTATCTTGGATCTAACCATGTTGTACTAATGTTTAAGTGACCATTGAGCAGTTCTTGGCAATACATCTTACCACAGGTGCACTATGAGTTGATCGATCTACCAAAAACGCCTACATCTCTAAAGACTTGAGAAGGATCCATCTTTGACTCCGCCCTTAATGAACTTAATCTTCTCAGCTAGGGGCTTGGCATACAAATGGCATGATTCCTCATCCTCTCCATCAAATGAAAAAGTCTTAGTGAGTTCGTGCTTCCCTCTCTCTCCCCTTCAAATTTAAAGAAAAAGCGTAAGGTCCAAGTAACCGGGGATTCGGTGGCAAACACCATCAATACTCGCGTCTATGGAAGGCCTATGAATCCAAGCAACCGGGGATTCGGTGGCAAACACCATCAATACTCGCGTCTGTGGAAGATCCAAGCAAAACCTCTATAATAAAGAGAAGGAGTTGAATAAAAAAATACTTCGCTACCCTAAAAAAGGGATGAATCAACTCAAAGAAGTGAGAAGAGAGAGAGGAGAAACATGGAGTAAAAAGACAAGTGCCAAACAAGGGGATGAGTAAGAGTCTAAAGCCGGCTGATCGATACTCCCTAGTTGAGACCACACCTTTAGAAATGAAAGGAGTCAAGGGTGGCGAATTGGATTGTCCAAGGAGAGGTGGACCGCTTTGGGAAAAATCGCAAAACTCATGGTATGTACTTTGTTCTTAATTCAAAATTTGCCAATGCTGTTTCATGTGGATTACTAAAGCATAAGTCAATTTGGATTTCCAAAAGATTTGAGAGTTCTCACGTTTTCAAACCTCTTTTCCTGCTTAGTTTGCTTGGGGACAAGCAAAAGGCTAAGTCTGGGGGAGTTGATATCACCATATTTTACATGATTTTACTATATAATTACTATGTTTTCAAACGGTTTTTGCAAGATTCTTTGCCTTTAGAGGTAGTTTTCTTGTATTTGTGGGATTTGAAGTCTTTGTAGGTGAAAAATCAAAAAGGATGCAAAAAGGAGTAAAAGAGCCCTAAATCAAGATCCATGCAAGTTTCCAAGTCAAGAAGATCATTTTATCTCCAAGTGTTAGTTCTCGCTAGCGCGCAGAACGAAGCTTCGGAAGTTTGGCCGCGCGCGGAGGAGTTCCCGACGTCCAAAAGTTACGATCTTGATATGGAAAGATAGATACTTGAGTCATGCATCACGTCGAAGTGGAATGAAGCCATTTGGATCAACTATGAGGCCGGAACTTATTTTCTACCGAGACATGTCCGGTAAGCGAGTAAACGAAGCCCATGGAGGATTTGGAGTGTCTAATGGCCCGAGCAGCAGCGCCAAAGGCCTTGATCGAATAGAGAAGAGGCCTGGCTAATGTTTGGAGCTTTCCTTGGTACAATGTCGGCCCATACACGACGTGGAGAAGAAGGCTTTGCTCACGGGAAACTTTCCTTTTCCGGCATGAAGAAAACCCTACGCGACTTCGCCCATATATACATGTTTTTAGCCGCTGAAGAAGAGAGTCGAGTCCGAAAATTATCAAAGAGTGTACGTGTGAGAAGAGAGTTCAGAGGAGAGAAGCCCTAGGAGATCGTCCAAGAAGAAGGAGGCGCCGCTCAACTCTTGTTCTTTCTTTTTCATTGTTTCCATTTCTATAAACTTGATTTTAAGAGTTTTCAAGGGAGAATCCGACTTTGTTCATCAATAGAGAAGCTTTCTTCATCCCTTTATCTCTTTTAATACTTGCATAATGTTTACAATCATGCTTTGCTTGCTTGTTTGCATCATGGCCGAGTAGATCTCTTAGTTAGGCCGAGGAGATCTATGGTGGCCGTGATGATTTGATTGTGTTGCAACTTATTGGGATTTATCTTATGGATCTTCACCTTTACTTGAGCTTAATGCATGATTACTCTACCGTACATCTAGTAATCTGATCTTAGAGAAATAGAACCACGACAGTGCTGAATCTAGATCTCAAAACTAGTATTTGGTGAGCAATAGATCATAGCCAACGAAAGCTGAGTTATGGTTTATTGTGAACAATTGAATCTTGATCACCTTTAATGCATGTTTGCAATTCTAATAGCCAACGAAAGCTGAGTATATTAGGTTGTTTTAAACATAGTGGTTGGAGCCACGACAGTGGAAAGACCATACACTAGTGATTCATGTTCAAGACGGCTCTACACACATCCCATGCAACTATCTTTTCATCATTGCTCCATATGATTGTCCTTTGCCTAACTCTTGTTTTAAATTGTTTACAACTCACTCACATTTCTTTTGTTTTGTTTTCTCATTCTAGGTCCAAAACCATCTCATATTGCGAGCTAGCTACAAACCAATCTCACAAGGTGTTAAGCGAGAACACTTCCTCCTCGTGTTCGACCCCGACTACAACACGGCTGTGCACTTGCAGCTCATTAGTTGGGTTTATAAATTGTGAAAATTTGAGGCAATCTAAACCCGCCATCATTGCGCTTTTTGTGGTTGCTCCAGGGATGAACTGACTGGTGCAAACATCTTTGTAGGCTGATTTTGGTTGGATGAATGTGACAATTCTCCCTTGGTTTCTGTTTTTCGCCTTTTGGCCGAGACTGGTCCGTTTTGGTCGACCGGATGGTGATGGTATGGACTACAGCTCGAACCGGTGAAGATTTCCTCGACCTATCTTGAAATTTTGTCGACCAATATGTATAATATGGCGACTGGTGAATATGGGGTCGTTTGAACGAGTGGTTTGAGATCTCCTTTGAAAAATTTTCAAATTGGCTCCGGGAACGTCTTCCTTCGGCCTTCTCCAATTCTGCTCGTTCCAATCCGGATTTTCTTCTTTAGATGCGATGTGGATGCTTGATGGAGGTGATTTGAGCCGGTGGCCGCGGTAAATGCCGTGATTTGGATTGTCGGCCATTTTACTTGCTCGCGATCGGCCAAATTTTGCTCCATCGGCCATCTCTTGAATTGTAAGGAATTCATTGTACTGAAATGAAATTTCATCGACCAACCTTATATTTTGTGGCTCCTTGTGAAGTTTGAGGCGATTTGAACGTGTGGATTCGGAGATCTTTCGTTGTGCGCGCCAATGGCTTGGAAGTGATTCCTTTGGCCATCTTGTATTCTGTTCGATCGTCTCCTTCCTTTCTTCTTCCTTGGTGTTTTTTGGACTCCAGAGGATCAGTTTCCACCGGTGTTCGCGCCTTCTTGAGGTTTTGAGTTCGTCGGCCATTCTATGCATCGCCGTCGGCCGTATTGAGCTTCCTTGTCTATCTCATGCAGGCACTTTTCTCGTCCTATCTTTTGGATTTGCCGACCAAAATGATGTTTTGAGGTCGCCTGTGAAGTTTGGTGGACTTCGGTCGTGCCGTTTGGAGATGGTCGAGCATTGTCGCTTGGTTCGTCGATTCTGGCCGAGAGAGTGATTGTGATGTGATATCTCCTTTTTTACTCGGGCCAATTGAGTTCTGCTTCGACCGAACTGTTTTTCTATCCCTCCTGGATTGAATTGTGGTTGGATTTCCCTCATCTCTCATGTTTGGCATGTAAATCCTCCTTTGGCCGGTTGTGGCTTCCTTGTGCGCCTGTTTGTTTGATATTTTGAACCGGTTCTCCTGTCATATTTAATCTGAAAAACACTAGTAACTTTTGTTAAACTCTGTCAATGATTGAGTTGTTCAAAATGTTTGAACTTCCCAATCAAAGACTTGATCGTGAAACCATATGTACTTGGGATCTTGATCAGAAATCCAAGTAGTGTCATTGGTTTAATTTGATAGAAATAGTGTTTAAAAGAAATGACAATAAGAATGGAAGTGATACTTACCTTTGCCTTGTGCAATAGTGTTCCAATGGCCGGATTTTGTTGTGCCGCGGCCCTTCTTGGATTCTTTGCTTCTTGAAACATGGGTGGGACTTGGGTGGGACTCAAACTAGACTCAATACTTGACACTTAGACCAAAGATGGTTGATCCTTGGGCCGATTAGTGGCGATGTAGCTTTTCCAATGCATTTTTCATGTAAGCCTCCTTTTTGGTACTTTTTCCTAAAACACTTTTTATTTTATTTTTGTAAAATTTATTAAACTCTCAAAAATTTAAGAGTTATAAATAGAACAAATAAGTAGTTATAAAAATAAAAACAAAAATAAAAAGAGGAAGGGATAAGAAAATGTGGGTTGCCTCCCACAAGCGCTTGTTTTAAGTCTTTGTAGCTCGACTCCTTTGTGTTCTTAGTTAGGTAGGATTGGTGGCTCCAAGAACTTCCTGTTGCCTGATGATTCCAAGTGCATCTTGTCCTGTAGAACTTCCTTGATCAAGTAGCCATGCGACTCTCCTCTTACTTGTGAGCACTCTCCTCCACTTGTGTAGCGAAATCGCTTGGATGAGAAACCGGGAGGTGCAGCATCGTAGAAGGTGTCCTTGTCAACATTGGCTAGAGAGATTCTTCTATTAGGCCAATCCATGATCGCTCCAGCTGTGGCTAGGAATGATCTTCCAAGCAAAAGCTTTAAGTCCTCCGGATCCTTCATGGTTACTACATAGAAGTTGGCTGGAACTATGCAGCCTCCAAAATCAAGCTGAATGTCTTTAACCTCTCCAAGTGGTTCGGTCAATGATGAATCAGCTAGCTTTAAATCCATTCGAGATTTCACAATTGAATTGATCAATCCCAACTTCTTGGCTATCTCGGCCGGCATAAGGTTCACACTAGAACCGGAATCGCAAAGAGCATCATCAAAGTAGCTTCCATTGATAGAGAAATGTATAAGGAAGTAACCTGGGTCATGAAGCTTGTGTAGAAACCTAGGTTTAGGCATTCCCTTTCTTGCTTCCTCGTACATCTTTTCCATTTCAGCTAGACTCCAATCTTGTGTCCAAGCTAGGTCTTGCATGAATGGACTCTTGTTGCAAGCATTATCAAACGGCACACCATAAGGGAATCTCCTCGCCATAAAGTTGAAATCATCTATGATCTCTTCAAGTGATGATCTTGTCTTCCTCTTCTCCTTGGTGGGAGGCGGTTGTGAAGACCTTTGAGTAAGGGTTCTTCCTTTTGGTGCTATCTTCTCTTGTTCCAGTGGTTAGCCTTGTGGCTCTTTCTTGATCAGCTCTACTCTCTTCTTCATCCCAAATCACTCTTGGGTCGGTCTCTCTTATAGTAAAGACGGCGCGGCATGGTTGTGCTTAGGAACGGTCGTCTTTGCTCGGTCAAGACCTTCTCTTCCAAGTTGGCTAAGCGAGTGGTTAAATCCTTGACTTCCTTGGAGACTCCATCTACTTTGTCTTCAAGCCCTCTAGCTCTTCTTTGAATATCTTGGCTCCTCTTGTCTAGAGAGATGTGTAAATCTCGGATTTGTGCCTTCACTTGTTTTTGCCCTTCCACCAATGTAAGCATCGTCGAGTAACATTGCCTCTCCTTTAGGGTCACTTCGGCTACCTCCCTCTTAGCTTGATGAGCTACTGCTGTTATTGAATTGAGACTCTTGGTGGTGCCATCGAGGTTGTTATCAAGACTTGTGATCTTCTCATCTAAGTGATTGTCCATCTCCTTGGTAGAAACTTTGGTAAAGTGTATCGCTCTCCTATTGTCTTCAATGGCCTCGCCTTGCTTCTTCAAATCTTCCTCCATGTCCAAGCATCTTGACTCTACTCTCTCTATTTGGGTAGAGAGTTCTCCAAGTCTTCCATCTAGTTCGTATCGCGTGAACTCTAGCTTTGTCTCAATGTCGCGGCTAGTTTTTCTTTGGCTCTCCATGAAACCCTCAAGCACGGCATCGAAATGGCTATCTCTCCGCCTATTGAGAACATGGTCGTGGTGTGAATGCAACACTGGTCTAGGTGGTTGATGATAAACCGGAGGTCGGTTTTGATGATGATGGTAATGATGCTCGTCTCGGCTAGGTCCTTCAAACGTCGGATGAGCGCGGTTGGGAGGGAACGGATGTGGCACGATGCTTACGGCTGGGTCTTGGTAACTCCGGCCGTGGAGATCGTGTGGGATCAGTGTCCGGTTCCCAAAGTGGATGTTGGTGTTGTGATTCATCTCCAAGTACCTATAAACACAAGATTTAAAAAGAAAAAGTTAGTATTCGAAAATACCAAGATCTAGACTTAGTTTTAAACAAGACTATGCAAGTGTTTATGATGCAATCCCCGGCAACGGCGCCAAAAACTTGATGCGGCATCTATGGGATGAGTACAAGTAATAATTCCCTAAGACAACTAGTGTTGCAAGTGCACAACATATAATTGTAGTATTTAGGGGTCGAACCACAAGGGATTGGATTTCACACATTACATAATCATAGAGTTTAAATGATCTAAGCTAAATCAAAAGATGCAAGGGTTTGTGTTTGTTTAGAACACGCAAAAGAAATAACAATGCAATTCTATACAAGCAACATTATTGAACTATTGAAAACTCTTTTGAAAACATGAGCCAAGTCGATTGAAAAGTTTGTTAAAATCCGATTCTTTTGAACTCAAAACACTAAGGAAGGATTATTCCACTTTCGTGGTTCCAATCCCCTATGTCTCTTAAACCAATGGGCTCAGCTTTCGTTGGTCATTGTAGAGTGAGACATGCATTACATCCAAGTAATGATTGTTCACAAAACTCTTTAGGTCTACTTTCGTAGCCTAAAACGATTTGCCCATCAAATACTATATCCGGAGATATAACAAGCTTTTGGAGAGTATATCAACCTAAAATCAAGTCACTAGTTAGCTACTCTAGCAACAAGCATTAAGCATAAATAAAGATGGAGAACCATAGGGTTTCCCCTTTTAACAATCGATTTTCGATGGCCATTATATCACGTCCTCATTGGAAGGATCCATAATTCAACAATGAGTCTTAGATAGTAGATGAAGTCTCATGAATCCTTAGAGAGAGAGGCGGCGGAATATGACTAAACCGCCTCACCCTTAGGGAGAAATCTCTACTTCTAGACTATATAAATTGAAACATGCAAGCTATATACAAATGCAAAAGAAGAAAAGAAAGAAGAAGGAGACCACCTAAGTGGCTCCGAACTTTATTGAATAAGTGTTTCTTGTTATGCGGCTGGTGATTCTTATTACAAGAGGCTAAAAGCAAGTATATATAGGTAGAGAGCGGGTCTAGGTCGGCAAAGTTGAGCGCGCGCAGAAGAGGAAAGTTTCCATTTCTCTTTAGCCGCTTGAGCTTGCTCTCCAAGTTCTTGAATGGGCCGCGTTCAGGCCAATGGAAGCTTCTGGATTGAGTTATGCTAGTGTCAAGATGAGCCAAGGCCTTGGGCGCGGTATCTCGGGCCTCTTGATCCATCAAAGTCTCCATGGGCTCTACTTAGGCGCTCGTCGGACATGTCTTGGTAGAAAATAAGTTCCGGTCCAACGAGTGATCCAAATGACCTCTTTCCACTTCGCCGCGGGTCATGACTCAAATATCTATCTTTCCATATAAGAATCATGACTTTTGGACGTCGGGAAGGCATGAATATGCGGTCGTACTTCGGATGCTCCGGTTTGGTCTTTAGCGAGAAATGTAGATTTTGGTGCTCTAGACTTGGGAACTTGGTGATTTGACTCTTTTTGCTCCATTTTGACTCTTCTTTGCTATTTTGACCTGAATGATGCTCAAAACCAGAATATACAAGAAAACTACCTCTTGGGCTTAAAAACCACATTATTTGTATTAAAAACATAGTGAAAACCTTGATAAAAACATGAAAGATATGGGTATATCACACATCAATGGTTTTGGTGTCTTTCTTCCATTGCTTAAGTTGGAGCTTAAGTTGTTTGATATGGCCCCTACTTGGTTTGGCATAGGTTGTCGCCAATGTTTGCCACACTTCAGCAGCAGTGGTGGCACGAGAGACAATGGGCTGGATCGGAGTGGATATGGCGCCAATCAACGAGCTGAAGATCAACTTGTCTTGGCGTTTCCATATGGTGTACGCTGGGTTGACTGAAACTACATCTGCAACAGTGAGCGTAGGTTGCGGAACCAGGATGGATCCATCGAGATGACCAACCAAATCGTAGCCATCAAGAAGAGCATGCACTTGTAGACTACACATGAGGTAATTTGTGGAGGTTAGCTTGGACACACTTGTCATGTTGATTGTGAATATTGTTTGACTGTTTGTGTTGATGGCATCAGTAACACCGGCTGGAGAATTGTTACCAGAGTTAGCCATGGAAGCAGGATTTGCAAACGAAGGAAGGAGAAGGGAAGAAAATAAAAATATGAGAGGTCTATAGATCTAGAGCTCTGATACCATATAGAAGTTTGTAGAAGTGATAATGTTATTGATAGGTGAATGATACAATTTATACAAGAGCTCCTATGCTAGGGCTTTACATTACTAGTCAATGAGAATATACTTATTTACATGAATAGCTGCATAAGATCAGGGATGATTGATATGATATGATTTATCATTAATAGTAGGGAGGCCTTCTTTTATTCTCTTGACGAGATGACTCTTGATGAGATGATGCTTGCCGAGACGACTCCTTCATCATTCCATGAATCTTTGAGTGGTGCGCCTTGCTTTCTTTGACGCTGACATATTTTTGGGACCTGTGCAAAGCGTCCTGGAGGGTTGCGGGTTCGTCGAGCATCATACTTTCTTTCAACTTCGATTCGAACCAAAGCCCGTTTTCGAAAGCTTTAATTCCCATCTCGTCGGGGATGTCTGAGTGCTCTGCTGCTGATGATTTGAATCTCTCCACGAGCTCGCGAAGTGGCTCATCTTTTCCCTGTGCCATAGTGAAAAGATTGGTGCTGCCTTTCGACATAAACATGCCAAAAAATTTCATGAATGCCATTCTGAGATCGTTGAAGCTATCGATGGTCTCGGCGAGAAGATTCAAAAACCAGCTCGTCGCGTCTTTGTTCATATGCTCGATGAACACTTGGCAGTAAATTGCGTCTTGTTCTTCAGGGTAGGCATATTTTTGCCTTTTCATGATGATTTCGAAGTTTCTTAGCCAGCCTCGAAGATCGTTACCCTTGTTGTTTGTTTTTAGTCATCTTTCCTCTCCTCCAATTTCTTAATCTCTGATCTAGAAAACTGATTTAGAAAAGACAAAAATCCCAAACTTTTTTTTTTTTCATGAGCAAATCATTATTCTTAAATTTGTTTGTTGTAAAAAGAATAGATCTGATTATTCATTTTGATTTGATCAAATATTCAAAATCTGTAATCTGATTTTAGAGTTTGTTTAATTGTGTGTTCATCTACTCTGATTGCAGTAATGACCTATGCCTTACGATCATGAGCTTTGGGTTTCTGATTGAAGCAATAATTGAGATCTGGTTCATTTTTATTACATTTCTAATTTCTTCGAAAGAGAAGAGAGATTTGTCGTGGAGTTGTGGAAAAGGAGAAAGAGAAGAATATTCTTCTTATTTTTTAATTTATAAATTAAAAATAAAGAAAATAATAATTAAAATTATTTTTTATTTAGAAAAATAAAAATTACCGGCACGTCATCATTTTACTGGAAAGTTAACGGTCACAATTTGTTTTTGCCGGCGCAAACTTTTTAGCTAATTTAAAGGTTTGATGTGTTAACATAATTGGTTTTAGGTTTAAAGTGCTGTCATTTGACACTTTGAAAGTTAAAAATGCAATTTTCCCTTTTTAAGAACTTCACATATATTTCATGTATGTCTTTTTTTTTTTCTACTGCTAAACCTAATTTTCTTGCAATGTTCTCTAGCCGCCTCTGTTTACCTCTTTACATTAAACTTTTTTGAAAATTCTGGACCTTTAATGTAAAGAAAATTTTGAGGACCATGTGCTTTTGCACCTTTAGCACAAACCTAGGACCATGCTTGCTCCTTGGGCCTGACTAGTTTAAACGTTCCGGTTGTGGTTGCGGGAGTTTGCGGAAGCGGGAGTTTGCGAATAAAAGCTGTTTGTACGACTGGTATAGCAATTCATAGCGGTTGCGTTTGCAGGATATTTTTGACTGGTTAGCCAGCGGGTGCAAGAGCGGTTTAACCAAAAGTTACTAGTAAAATAAACATAATATATAATTATTCAAAACATTTATAATTTGGAGATATTATGTTTTTTTTTTTTTTTTTCAAACCGCAACCGCAACCGCCCGCAAACGCTTGCGGAAAGGAGCTTTTGATTTCCAGCGATAGAGCGGTACAGAGTGGTATAGAGCGGTTGAAAGCGGTTGTCGTGATTGTTATAAAACGCCAAGAACCGCTACGAGCGGGAGAACTAATCATCACCTTAGTCTCTATAAAAAGAAATGCATTCATCCCTTGTAATTTAACATTAGTAATACGAAAGTATATTATCTTTAAGTTCACTATGATTCAATTTAGGGTTTATAAAATCAATTTGGAGAAAATTGACTTTTTGAAGAAAAAGTAAAATGGGCAAATTAGTTTTTTTTAATAGATTTTAACCCACGTGTTTTAAGTTTAAACGACATTCTTATATTAATAAGACTAGGTTAAAGCCCGCGCTATGCGCGGGTAGTGTTGTGACTTTTTCATAAAAATTGTCTTTTTTTTTCATTTTTGTTAAAAAAAAATTTCAAGTATGATAATTTTTTACCCGAAACATAAACCTGACTCGAAAACTCGAATCAAACCCGAACCCAAAATTTTAAAAACTCAAACGGTGTTCATATCTGTAAACTTGAAAAAACCTAAAAACTTAAAAAAAATAAATAAATGAAAAACATGGAAAACCCTAACCGAACGCAAACAAAATCCAAACACAACCAAAATAAAAAATAAAACCCGAAAGGTTTCTGAATCCCGAAGTGTAAGGCCTAGTCTTTCTGACGCAAGCATTTCGTTTAGTTTCTCAAGTTTTTTTTACCACTCATGCACATTTTCCCTGTTTTGTAGCTAATGAGTCGCAATTTCAACTTAAGATATAGGTTTAACAGAACTGTATGAATGGCTTTAACTATTAGACAAGATCAGTAGTAAAGCCAGCCAGCATGATGGTTATCTCTCAACTTTCTAACCACACAAGTCAGAATAGCGGCGACCAAAACAATAGGGGCGATGTAGATCTCCGACCGAAATAATGTTCCCGAGCACTTGTTCATCTAAAGAGAAAGCATAATGAAAGACCCAAATCCATGTGCAGTAGCATCAATCAACATATGAATCACCACAGTCTATCTAAACCTGACTTATCCCCTGCAAACCACGCAATCATGAAACCAGTTTAGAAGGTAACATTTTCTATTCGTTGTTTCAGGACAATAAAACTTAAAGAGTATAGCTTAGTGCTGAATTATAAACAATTAAAAAACTTAGGAAACTTCAAAATTTACAAAACATCAACGAATTGGATATCCATAGGTAAAGAGAAATCTATAATTTTTTTTAACAGGTAAAAAAAAAAAATCAAATCTCAAGTGATAAGATAGAATCATTAATCATACCATGAGAAAGTGTGGTAAATTTAGTCCAAAATTTCCAAAAACTGAATTCTTTGGCAACATCATCATCATCACCACCATTATGAGTATTCTGACTTTCTTCATTGGAGTCAGGGAATGACCAATTGATTTGCGCACGACTCTCCAATGGTTTTGACTTGAACCCAATTTAGATTATTGGATTTGTGTCTGAACAAACTTAGAAAGAAATGATAGATCCCGTTCCAGAGGTAAAGCTAACATTCTCAAGGTTACTCAATCTGATGAGTAAAAAGCTATAGAAGATTAAGTATACCTGTGTCTGTGCATCATCACTAGTGAAAATGTTACCGATGCTACGGAGGGCAGGAATAAGCACAGATGGTGATGGATGCCTACAGCGAACCAAAATTCAATGATATTTGTTAGCACAATATCATGTCCAAAAGTAATGTGAATCACAGGATTTAAAAAACTCACTGGAGAAGCTCCACAAGTCGAGGAACAACACCGGCCTCAATGACATATTGGATTTTGTCATTTGTGCCATCAGAAAGATAAGAGAGGGCCCAACAGGCATCCGTCAACACTTCCTCATTAGTCGAGTGAATCAGGCGTTCAAGGGCCGGAAGTCCTGGACTAATCAGTTCTTGAGAGATCAGAGAAATTACATAATCTTCCTTGATCATAAGGACAAACTCAGGAAGAAATGAGAGACAAACCTGGTCAAAAGTAGGCTGTGGCTTTCCCCTGCAGAAGTTTGAGAGGGTCCAAGTAGCATTTCTCAGCATTGAAAGTTTAGCATGCTCATTCAACTGAGAAAGTAGTGGTAACAAAGCTCCCTGACTTAGTACAAGATCTCTGCATCGTGGAGAGTCACCAGCAACATCCCTAATGCCCAAACAGCCTTCCACATAAACAGATTAAGACTACAAAAACTCTAGAAGATACTTAGTCACTGAAATTCTGTAATGACCAAAAATCATAATCGCAAACTTTACCTGCTCAAGGACATCATCACTCTGAGAAACCAACAGCCTAATATGTTGTACACAAATGTGACAGATACATGATGGATGCACCAAACCTGGAGCTGTGGATAATCCTCCCTCATGAGAAACTCCACAAACCGAGGCACAACACCAGCTTCTATCACCTCCTCGATTGGAGGACTACGCTCTACCAAAGTAAAACACACACAAAAGTCATCTCAAGAACTTGTGGAATCGAATCTAAGCTTAAAACCACATACAGATAATAGCAAAATTTACCAATAGAAAGCAGTTTCCGGAACTGAGTAGTCGCTTCGAGCTGTAAGTTTCTCTCCTTCGACCATACACCACCAATCATGGAAGGCAAACTCTCCAACTACGAAGACAAATCGGAAACGATCTAAATTAGTTCAAAATTCAACACTAATCCTTAAAATCTGAATCCAGATCCATAGTGATTTCACCTTTTTGTCGACGGTAGAAGCAGCAGAATCGGCGGAAGGAGCGAACTGAGGTTGCTGCGTGGCGTGAAGACCTTCGCGACGCTTCTTCTGCTTGAAGATGAAAATGATTGAGTTTGTGAAAGTTAGAGACTGAATGTTTCCAAGAATCTAAAACGGAGCAGAGAAGAGGAAGAGGAGATGATGAGTTTTGGTGTTTAATTTTCAGACGTAAAAGAGGAGAGAGAGGGGAGGAGGAGAGAATTTGGGAGATTTTTTAGAACTGCCACGTGGCCATCTCTCCTGCGCTGACGTGGCGATATAGAATAACGGAGCTGATAATCTTGGTTGAAAAGTTACCAAATTTTGAAATTTGTGTATTAATATAGGTTCCAAAATTAGTCAATGTATATTTTTGGAATAAAAAAAAGTTTGTGTATTTTTCTTTTAGATTTAATTAAGGGGAATTGCCAAATATAGTGCACAATTTTATTTGAATCACCACAGTCTATCTAAACCTGCCTTATCCCCTGCAAACCACGCAATCATGAAACCAGTTTAGAAGGTAGCATTTTCTATTCGCTGTTTCAGGACAATAAAACTTAAAGAGTATCGCTTAGTGCTGAATTATAAACAATTAAAAAACTTAGGAAACTTCAAAATCTACAAAACATCAACGAATTGGATATCCATAGGTAAAGAGAAATCTATAATTTTTTTTAACAGGTAAAAAAAAAAATCAAATCTCAAATGATAAGATAGAATCATTAATCATACCATGAGAAAGTGTGGTAAATTTAGTCCGAAATTTCCAAAAACTGAATTCTTTGGCAACATCATCATCATCACCACCATTATGAGTATTCTGAATTTCTTCATTGGAGTCAGGGAATGACCAATTGATTTGCGCACGACTCTCCAGTGGTTTTGACTTGAACCCAATTTAGATTATTGGATTTGTGTCTGAACAAACTTAGAAAGAAATGATAGATCCCGTTCCAGAGGTAAAGCTAACATTCTCAAGGTTACTCAATCTGATGAGTAGAAAGCTATAGAAGATTAAGTATACCTGTGTCTGTGCATCATCACCAGTGAAAATGTTACCGATGCTACGGAGGGCAGGAATAAGCACAGATGGTGATGGATGCCTACAGCGAACCAAAATTCAATGATATTTGTTAGCACAATATCATGTCCAAAAGTAATGTGAATCACAGGATTTAAAAAACTCACTGGAGAAGCTCCACAAGTCGAGGAACAACACCGGCCTCAATGACATATTGGATTTTGTCATTTGTGCCATCAGAAAGATAAGAAAGGGCCCAACAGGCATCCGTCAACACTTACTCATTAGTCGAGTGAATCAGGCGTTCAAGGGCCGGAAGTCCTGGGCTAACCAGTTCTTGAGAGATCAGAGAAATTACATAATCTTCCTTGATCATAAGGACAAACTCAGGAAGAAATGAGAGACAAACCTGGTCAAAAGTAGGCTGTGGCTTTCCCCTGCAGAAGTTTGAGAGGGTCCAAGTAGCATTTCTCAGCATTGAAAGTTTAGCATGCTCATTCAACTAAGAAAGTAGTGGTAACAAAGCTCCCTGACTTAGTACAAGATTTCTGCATCGTGGAGAGTCACCAGAAACATTCCCTAATGCCCAAACAGCCTTCCACATAAACGGATTAAGACTACAAAAACTCTAGAAGATACTTAGTCACTGAAATTCTGTAATGACCAAAAATCATAATCGCAAACTTTACCTGCTCAAGGACGTCATCACTCTGAGAAACCAACAGCCTAATCTGTTGTACACAAATGTGACAGATACATGATGGATGCACCAAACCTGGAGCTGTGGATAATCCTCCCTCATGAGAAACTCCACAAACCGAGGCACAACACCAGCTTCTATCACCTCCTCGATTGGAGGACTACGCTCTACCAAAGTAAAACACACACAAAAGTCATCTCAAGAACTTGTGGAATCGAATCTAAGCTTAAAACCACATACAGATAATAGCAAAATTTACCAATAGAAAGCAGTTTCCGGAACTGAGTAGTCGCTTCGAGCTGTAAGTTTCTCTCCTTCGACCATACACCACCAATCATGGAAGGCAAACTCTCCAACTACGAAGACAAATCGGAAACGATCTAAATTAGTTCAAAATCCAACACTAATCCTTAAAATCGGAATCCAGATCCATAGTGATTTCACCTTTTTGTCGATGGTAGAAGCAGCAGATTCGGCGGAAGGAGCGAACTGAGGTTGCTGCGTGGCTTGAAGACCTTCGCGACGCTTCTTCTGCTTGAAGATGAAAATGATTGAGTTTGTGAAAGTTAGAATATTCACTGAATGTTTCCAAGAATCTAAAACGGAGCAGAGAAGAGGAAGAGGAGACGATGAGTTTTGGTGTTTAATTTTCAGACGTAAAAGAGGAGAGAGAGGGGAGGAGGAGAGAATTTGGGAGTTTTTTTAGAACTGCCACGTGGCCATCTCTCCTGCGCTGACGTGGCGATATAGAATAACGGAGCTGATAATCTTGGTTGAAAAGTTACCAAATTTTGAAATTTGTGTATTAATATAGGTTCCAAAATTAGTCAATGTATATTTTTGGAATAAAAAAAAGTTTGTGTATTTTTCTTTTAGATTTAATTAAGGGGGAATTGCCAAATATAGTGCACAATTTGATTTGAATCACCACAGTCTATCTAAACCTGCCTTATCCCCTGCAAACCACGCAATCATGAAACTAGTTTAGAAGGTAACATTTTCTATTCGCTGTTTCAGGACAATAAAACTTAAAGAGTATCGCTTAGTGCTGAATTATAAACAATTAAAAAACTTAGGAAACTTCAAAATCTACAAAACATCAACGAATTGGATATCCATAGGTAAAGAGAAATCGATAATTTTTTTTAACAGGTAAAAAAAAAAATCAAATCTCAAGTGATAAGATAGAATCATTAATCATACCATGAGAAAGTGTGGTAAATTTAGTCCGAAATTTCCAAAAACTGAATTCTTTGGCAACATCATCATCATCACCACCATTATGAGTATTCTGAATTTCTTCATTGGAGCCAGGGAATGACCAATTGATTTGCGCACGACTCTCCAGTGGTTTTGACTTGAACCCAATTTAGATTATTGGATTTGTGTCTGAACAAACTTAGAAAGAAATGATAGATCCCGTTCCAGAGGTAAAGCTAACATTCTCAAGGTTACTCAATCTGATGAGTAGAAAGCTATAGAAGATTAAGTATACCTGTGTCTGTGCATCATCACCAGTGAAAATGTTACCGATGCTACGGAGGGCAGGAATAAGCACAGATGGTGATGGATGCCTACAGCGAACCAAAATTCATTGATATTTGTTAGCACAATATCATGTCCAAAAGTAATGTGAATCACAGGATTTAAAAAACTCACTGGAGAAGCTCCACAAGTCGAGGAACAACACCGGCCTCAATGACATATTGGATTTTGTCATTTGTGCCATCAGAAAGATAAGAGAGGGCCCAACAGGCATCCGTCAACACTTCCTCATTAGTCGAGTGAATCAGGCGTTCAAGGGCCGGAAGTCCTGGGCTAACCAGTTCTTGAGAGATCAGAGAAATTACATAATCTTCCTTGATCATAAGGACAAACTCAGGAAGAAATGAGAGACAAACCTGGTCAAAAGTAGGCTGTGGCTTTCCCCTGCAGAAGTTTGAGAGGGTCCAAGTAGCATTTCTCAGCATTGAAAGTTTAGCATGCTCATTCAACTGAGAAAGTAGTGGTAACAAAGCTCCCTGACTTAGTACAAGATCTCTGCATCGTGGAGAGTCACCAGCAACATTCCCTAATGCCCAAACAGCCTTCCACATAAACAGATTAAGACTACAAAAACTCTAGAAGATACTTAGTCACTGAAATTCTGTAATGACCAAAAATCATAATCGCAAACTTTACTTGCTCAAGGACATCATCACTCTGAGAAACCAACAGCCTAATCTGTTGTACACAAATGTGACAGATACATGATGGATGCACCAAACCTGGAGCTGTGGATAATCCTCCCTCATGAGAAACTCCACAAACCGAGGCACAACACCAGCTTCTATCACCTCCTCGATTGGAGGACTACGCTCTACCAAAGTAAAACACACACAAAAGTCATCTCAAGAACTTGTGGAATCGAATCTAAGCTTAAAACCACATACAGATAATAGCAAAATTTACCAATAGAAAGCAGTTTCCGGAACTGAGTAGTCGCTTCGAGCTGTAAGTTTCTCTCCTTCGACCATACACCACCAATCATGGAAGGCAAACTCTCCAACTACGAAGACAAATCGGAAACGATCTAAATTAGTTCAAAATCCAACACTAATCCTTAAAATCGGAATCCAGATCCATAGTGATTTCACCTTTTTGTCGACA